GCTGAGAAAATTTTATTGTCTTAAAAGGGCTTAGATTTACATAAATCCAATATATATTTAATATGCACAAGCGGATATAATTTCCTTTTCAAGTGATTCATGACAAAATATTGTAAATGTATTATTATTATTATTATTATTATTATTATTATTATTTGTCTATGTTATATTTCCTGTTTTGTATCCTGTAGAGACGGGTCCCAACTATGGTCCTTAGTCCCAATAGGAGAATTGTCATTTAATTGATAGCACTTTTCTTACTATATTGGATGTCCTCAGTAAGGCGATCATCTGGGCAACTTGTATATTGATGTTACCTGGGACACTGTTAGAAAAGTTGTCCATTCCTTTTCTCACGAGTCCCAGTGCTCTGGTTACTACTGGTACAGTCTCAATATTAATTCCTTACATCATGTTATTCTTGATTTCCAGGTTTTTGTGTTTGGATAATTTCTCGATAATTTTCATGGAGGTGTTTCTCTCAGATGGTACTGCTATGTCAATAAGCATACACTTACTGAATGTTTGTATTTTATGATAATATCAGGTTTGTTAGTATTTACTTCCCTTTCAGCTTGAATTAGCATGTCCCAGAGGATAGTTATATCGTTATTTTGGGTAACTGTGTCTGGTTGGTGCTGATACCATTTCTCAGTGGTTTTGGATTTTGTGCTTCTTGCATATCTTCCAGTGCACATATGTCGCTAACTTTGTTATGTCTGTGGATATATTCATTAATTATTATTATTATTATTATTATTATTATTATTATTATTATTATTATCCGCAAATAATATGGGTCGCACTATAAAGGTAAACTTTTGAAGATATTAAAAATGATGCATATTCGGTGACCCTTTGCACTATACACAGGTAATTTTTTGGAGGGGGTTAAATTTTACCTGGGGAAATGTTAGTAAAACTCTCCATTCCTTTTCTCACGAGGCCCAGAGCTCCGATTACTATTGGTACAGTCTCAATCTTCATTCCCCACATCCAGTACTTCGACAATTTCTCGATAATTTACATGGAGGTGATTATTATTATTATTATTATTATTATTATTATTATTATTATTATTATTATTATTATTTTTTTTTTGATTTCTGGCGTTTGCACATTTCTTTCCGGGTCCCGCCCAGGGACCTAAGGTTAGAAATGGCGTCATGACACTTTCCACTGACAAAAAAAAAAAAAAAATTACATAGATAAAGCCCTTCATAAAGTGTGGGCTGTACTTGTCAGAACAATGTTTTGTATCTCCTTGAGGCATGGACTTCCAGGAATCCCTTCAATTAGTCTACTGCAATCTTTTCCAACCAGTCCTAGGGCTCCAACTCAACAGAGATTGTTGATGTTCCCATATGCCACATTTTCGAGATTGCTATTTCAAGGTCCTTGTATTTTGACAACTTTTTGAATATCTTCAAAGATACATTATTATTATTATTTTTATTATTATTATTATTAAGAATTGCAAGATTAAAGTCATTATTTAATAAACTTTCGAAGTATCCGTTCAGCATAATATTTAATTAAAATAACCATGTATATTTTCATGGAGTCATGGAGTCTATGGAGGCAGACATTTTGACGTGGAAGCTACAAATATAAATGGTATATTGAGTTATGTTTAAATAGAGATGGTATATTTATAGATGACGTCTAATTCTAAGCGTCACGTATTAGATATCGACTGAAAATTAAAAAGGTTAGAGGGTGATATGAGGAAGGAAAAAGTAATGTTGAAAATTAACAAGTACGAAAGATTTTAGGCGAGGCTGATATATATATATATATATATATATATATATATATATATATATATATATATATATATATATATATATATATATATGCTGGCAAATAAACAGATATGATCAGATTGACCGACAGACAGAAAAAATAGATAGATAGTTAGATAGATAGATAAATAGATATGACAAGAATGTGATAGATAGACAGAGAGATAGAGAGACAGATAGATAGATATGACCAGAATGTGACAGATATCTAGACAGACAGATAAATAGAGAGACATATAGATAGATATGACCAGAATGTGATAGATAGATAGATAGATAGATAGATGATGATCAGAACGTGATAGATAGATAGATAGATAGATAGATAGATAGATAGATAGATAGATAGATAGATAGTCTATGATAGAGAGATACGTTTAGAATGCAATAGATAGATAGATAGATAGATAGATAGATAGATAGATAGATAGATAGATAGATAGATCATCCCGTAAACAGATTGATATGACCAGAATGTGATAGATAAAGAGACATATAAATCGACCGAACTATAGATAAATATGATCAGAATGTAATAGATTTTAGGTCAGATAGATAGATAGATAGATAGATAGATAGATAGATAGATATGATCAGAATGTGACAGATAACAGACAGATAAATCGAATGAACTAAAGATAGATAGATATGATCAGAATGAAATAGATTTTAGGACAGACAGACTGGCAGATACATACATACATACATAGATAGATAGATAGATAGATAGATAGATAGATAGATAGATAGATAGATTGGTAGAATCTGAATGTGAAGTATATTCATGAGCGTTCTTTAAATTAAATGATTTGAAGGACTAATGACATTTTACTTATGTTTAGAAACACATAACACAAAAGAAAATCTTATGGCTTAATGAAGTCTACCGTAGGACGAAACGTCATGGCTAAGAAAATCTTTGATTTTTTTTTCTTTCTTCATAGATAGATATATCCTGATTAAATTATATATTAACACATTGATATATGTAGAACAGACAGCAATGCAATAGATATATAGAGAGTTAGACAGATATATATGAATATATAAATATTTATATAACGAGTGGGACAACTCGATTTGGTGAAATGATTAGTGAGATTGTCTCGCTGAAATAGTTAAGACTGAATAGTGAGTTCGACTCTCACCAGGTAACCATAAATTCGGCCGGGTGCCACATCTAAACTCTGCTTATAAAATCAACATATATTCCTTTCCCATGAACGCATGTGTTCTCCAAGGCTCTATACTAGGCCCTACTCTGTTCTTTGTCTTCATTAACGATCTCCTCGATGTCAACACTTCCCAAGTAGGCATCTATGGTGACGACATTACTATTTACTCATGCCTCAATAGCAAATCTGGTTTCGCTGACAAAACTAACCTGGCTGTTAGTTTCGAAAAAGAAGCTCCAATTAGTTATAGACTGGATCAGGAATTGGCTGGTTAACTTTAATGCCTTTAAAACAAAACTGTTCTCTGTTACTCACCACGGGGAAGCATCACTATCGCCCATTAGAATGTCTGATGCCCAACTCCACGAGAGCGCCTCTTTACGAATGCTTGCTCTCAAACTGTCCGCTGACCTGTGATGGAACAATTACATTGAATCAATAGCTTCATCCCCCGCAAGGAAACTTAGTTCACAGTGTCGCGCCAAAAAGATTTTCTCGCCTGAGTCCATCATTCAAATCTACAAATCAACCATTCGCCATTGCATGGAATACTGCTGCCATATATGGTCTGGTGCCACTGCTGTTCGTCTTAAGGTCCTCGACAAGATCTAGAGACGGATAAGCAATGTGGTTGCGTCCTAATCTGGCATCTCGTCTTCAGTCGCTCTCTCACAGACCTGCCGCCGCATCCGAAGTGCTATTTTTGCTGGTTCCCAGACTGCGTGAATTTAAGTGTGCTACTAAGCTGGCATCACGGTCCCACCCTTTCACTGTTGAAACGGTTAAATGTGACCGTCTCTTCTACTCCAATAGCTTCATATCTCGCACCTCCCGTCTGTGAAATACCCTTCTTATTACTTGTTTCCCTGCTAGATATAATTACATTATCGACATCTCGAGATAACCTGAACTATCCCCTGCCCTTCTCTTCATCCATTCCTTGCTTGAGGTGAAGTTATATATATATATATATATATATATATATATATATATATATATATATATATATATATATATATATATATATCTGTGTGTGTGCGTGTATATCAATATATATATATATATATGTGTGTGTGTGTGTGTGTGTGGAAAGTATACATCCGCATGTTTATTTTTTTCTCCTTTAATAAGGATACTAAGGAACTGGTACAGGATTATGAGAGGATCCTAGTAAAATAAGTAGTCTAAATTATTTATTTATCCATGTTTTCATATATATATATATATATATATATATATATATATATATATATATATATATATATATATATATATATATATATATATGTTTTAAACGTTATTTCTAGTGGATACCCATATTTAAGTAGACGCTTTAGTTTATTTAGTATGTTCAGATAAGTAGAAAAATATGAAAGAACACGTTATGTAAATAGTCCAGAGTTATTTATTTATTTATTTTAAAAAACAGTGCTCCACACAGAAGTAAAGCTTAAATTATAATTATTTAAAAAAAAAAAAATGATTCCTTCGCTACATAAGATTTCTCATGTTTCAAAAAGGAGTGCTGAAAACCTCAATATAATTATTAAAATTAAATTGAGTTAAAGTATCGAGCCCTGTTTCATCCTCAAGCGAAAATTTAGGAATAAGCAATCTGGAAATTTACTCATCTTTATAAGCATGTTCATTCACAGAATTAATTACTATGGAAACAGCTGGGCGACCATTTTGGTAAGGGGTCTAATAGATAATTTTTATTCGCATATCAGTCATCTTTGGAAAGAGGTCAAGCCGAGGTAGAGTGGGGGGCATCCATATCAATGCGAATGATGGCATTCATGTGCGCACATCGTCTGGTCAGTCTTTCGGTTAGGAGATTTATTCGTTCCTAGTTCCCTTTAGGTGAATCACTGTAAACTACTTTTGGTACAATATTTCATGATTTTGGCATTTTATTTACATCAAAATCCAATATTTGAGACTATTCTTACTAACTCAAAAGGAAGATTTCTTTCCACACTTCCTGCTAGATTTCCATGCTTCTGTCAGGGTGAGCGTTATGTTTTTACGAGAGTATCTATCGAATAGAGGTGCGGATAAACCCAAAAAGAAAGCCTTCTCTAACAAATTCCTCTTTGTAAACTTGAGCGTTAATATCTTTGGATTTACAGTCCTTCACCAGAACTTTCAATGCTTAAAGCGATTAATCCTAGGTTTCTCCCGCCTGTTGAATTCTGGTTGCAAGAACATGCCTGGCGTAGATCTCTCTTTGACGAAAATTCTCTTTAGAATATTATTAGATTCTTCAAAATCAATACATTCGCTGAACGGTTCGTATATATCAGACGACAAGTAATTTATAAGAATATTCAGATACCCCGCTCAAAATGGTTGAGGATGTTTAAAAATGTTCGGTAACAACGATTCCATATATTCTCTGCCCTGGGGATTTTACTATCTACATCCAATATTAGAGGTTTCAGTACCCTATCAATGTTGATATCCGAAGAAAGATATTGTAGTGAATAGAATAATTACATAGAAGAATTCACTGCTATTCCACTGGTTACTAAAACTTGAAGATCAGGTTTAGTTTATCCTCCACTTGCATGAACTGCATTTATATAGTAGAGATTAGCCAACAGTAGGTATTAATAATATTTTTCACACGATATATATATATATATATATATATATATATATATATAGATAGATAGATAGATAGATAGATAGATCAATGTGTTTTAGTGGACACATCAATTTTCAATCAGCTTGTCTGAATCATCTTTAAGAAGCGAGAGCAAGATCTAAAAGGTCAACCAATCTAACAGTGATCTCATCTCACAATCCTCGCACTTGCACCTCCTTTGTAAATCACTAGCGCGTCTTAAATGCCACTTAAGATTAGCGCATAAACTTTCATAACTGAATCAATAAGCTGGCAGATCCTCATATGGCGAAACCGACGGGAGAGTCCATTATATATATACACACACACACACACACACACACATATATATATATATATATATATATATATATGCATTGTTGGAAAATAAATATACGTACATCATGAATTCTTTTATTGAACATAGATTTTATAAAATAATTATATATATATATATATATGAAATGGACAATATCCGACAATTATTTTATGACATCTTTACAAATTATTTTTTAAGATACAAATATTTAAGTAAATGCTCTGTTTATAATAAGCAGTATTAACATTTACCGGCCTGAATGTCCGAGGAATTTTCATAGAAAATATGCGTCCTTCGTCAGCAATCGAACCTCTATCCTACATGGAACCGTCATATAACCTGACGTGCTTTACCGATTTAGCCACAGAGGAGCGTTTCGTGAAGAATTGTAGTTTAAAAACAGTAAAATCGACCTTGCTGATAGAAACGCTCTTCTGTGGCTAAATCGGTAAAGCACGTCAGGCTATATGACGGTTCCTTGTAGGATACAGGTTCGATTCCTGTTGTGGGACGCATATTTTCAATGGAGATTTTTCGGAACATTCAGCATTTACGTAAATATTTGTATCTATAAAAACGAATGCATGAACATAAAAATGTCTTTATATATATATATGTATTTATGTATGTATATGCGGATGTTGACAACTTAAGAAGTACGTGTGTGTGTGTGTGTGTGCGTGTGTATGTATGTGTGTGTGTGTATGTGTGTGTACTGGTTCCATGTAGCTTGGGAAATATGTGTGTATATGTGTGTGTACTGACTACTTGTGGTGGGATAGTGTGTATGTGCGTATGTGTGTGTATGCGTGTATAAGTACAAATAAGTTTACGAATTCCTCGTAGTAAGGAAATATACGCACGCATATATATACACGCATGCTGACAGGAACACGCCAAAATAGAAACAGATCCAAGAGCACATAGAGGTCACTAAAACATTAAAAGATTAAATGCCGATAACTACTCGCTGGACAAACCTTAATTGCTTTATGACCCTTCACGCAGAACTCTTCATTGACAATTCTAGAAAGAAAATTCGGATTGCCAACACACAAACAGAATGTCTCATATCGAGAATATTCCACATTGAACATGAAGAAAAATTAATTATTTTAATAATATGTAAAATCTCCACTTTCACCTGAAGACGGTTTGCGAGACCAGACCAGAAACACGTGTCGTGAAATTATGTAAAACAAAGTATAATATTTTTTCTCAATAAATTACAACCAAAAACGTTTGCGGCACCCTCTTCTTTTTTATATATATATATATATATATATATATATATATATATATATATATATATATATAGTACAGGTAATCGATGAATTTGTATATGATCCTAGTAACATTAATTATTACAACTGATCCACAGAGAGCTCGATGTATTTATTATACCAGAGCATATATATTTTTTACACCCCCAAAAATAAAATTGACTTTTGTATAGTCTATTTCAAGCCGTTTTGTACGCGGTAATCCTTAACCCCTGTCCAGGTGTATGTGTGTGTGTGCGTGAAGAGAGAGATAGATAGAGAGAGAGAGAGAGAGAGAGATTTGATGTGTAGATGAAAAATTCTCGACCCAACTCCGATCAAATGAAGGTTTGAGTAATTTTCAGCACCCCTCATCGACTGATAGCTAGAGAGATGCGTTAAGGACGAGATATATATGTGCTCTGTGTATAATGGATTATACCTTTTATAATTCAAATTCCCAACTGGGAAGAAAAATAATTTCCCGCGGCTCGCTTACCCAAAACCTCTGCATTATTTGCCCGATTTATTCTGGAGACATTCTTGACGACGTCGAAACAAATTCCATCTGCTTGCCAAGGACGTCAATCACACATACACACGCACAAACTCACTAACTCACTCACTCACACACTCACACACACACACACACACAAGCAAACAAACTCAACGTAGAAATCACATGTACAAATAAACGGATAACCATCAAAACATCCATACATAAACACTACATAATTTTATCTCTGCCTTCTTTTATTTCTCATTTATTCATTTTTTTGAACATTCTTTTCTCTCGGTTAAAATGATATTTTGAATTTTTGTTTATTTCTTTGTCGGCACTTCTTTCTTTATAACAGCATCTCTCTTCTTCATTGTACTTTCAAATTCTCTCTTCTTCCTTGTAATTTTCATTCTTTCTTCTTCCTTGTACTTTTCTTTCTCTCTTCTTTGTAAATTACATTCTCTCTTCTTCCTTGTACTTTACATTCTCTCTTCTTCTCCTCTTCCTTGTACGTTACTTTCTTCCTTGTTCCTTGTACTTTACATGCTCTCTTCTTCCTTGTACTTTTCTTTCTCCCTTGTTCCTTGTACTTTACATTCTCTCTTCTTCCTTGTACTTTTCTTTCTCTCTTCCTCCTTGAACAGATTTCCCTCATTTAAATTATCTTTCCTTTTTTAACCTCATATTCATCTCGTCGTTATTTTTTTCAGATTTAAGTCTGCTTTTCATTCTTCTTCCTTGTACTTTACAATCTCTCTTCATCCTTGTACTTTACAATCTCTCTTTTTCCTTGTACTTTACAATCTATCTTCTTCCTTGTAATTTACATTCTTTCTTTTTCCTTGTACTTCCTTGTACTTTACATTCTCTCTTCTTCTCTTCTTCCTCGTACGTTTCTTTTTCTCTTATTCCTTGTACTTTACATTCTCTCTTCTTCCTTGACCTTTTCTTTCTCTCTTTTTCCTTGTACTTTGCATTCACTCTTCTTCCTTGGAATTTTCTTTCTCTCTTCTTCCTTGTACTTTTCTTTCTCTCTTCTGCCTTGTACTTTACATTCTCTCTTTTTCCTTGTACTTTTCTTTCTCCTATTTCTTGAACATATTTCCCGCGTTTAAATTATCTTTCCTGTTTTAACCTCACACTCATCTCTAACGTCGTTATTTTTTCAGATTTAAGACTGTTTTTCATTCTTCTTTCTTGTAATTTACAATCTATCTTCTTCATTTTACTTTCCAATCTCTCTTCTTCCTTGTAATTTACAATCTCTATTTTTCCTTGTACTACCTTGTACTTTACATTCTCTCTTCTTCCTTGTATTTTTCTTTCTCTCTTCTTTCTTGTACTTTACATTCTCTCTTCTTCCTTGTATTTTTCTTTCTCTCTTCTTTCTTGTACTTTACATTCTCTCTTCATCCTTGTATTTTTCTTACTCTCTTGTTCCTTGTACGTTACATTCTCTCTTTTTCCTTGTACTTTACATTCTCTCTTTTTCCTTGTACTTTACATTCTCTCTTTTTCCTTGTACTTTACATTCTCTCTTCTTCCTTGTAATTTATATTCTCATTTCTTCCTTGTAATTTACATTCTTTCTTTTTCCTTGTAATTTCTTGTACTTTACATTCTCTCTTCTTCTCTTCTTCCTCGTACGTTTCTTTTTCCCATGTTCCTTGTACTTTACGTTCTCTCTTCTTCCTTGTACTTTTCTTTTTCTCTTCTTCTTTGTACTTTTCATACTTTCTTCTTCCTTGTACTTTACATTCTCTCTTCTCTTCTTCTTTTTACCTTTCTTTCTCCCTTGTTCCATGAGCTTTACATTCTCTCTTCTCTGTACTTTACATTCTCTCTTCTTCCTTGTATTTACAATCTCTCTTTTTCATTCTTCTTCCTTGTACTTTACAATCTCTCTTCTTCCTTGTACTTTACATTCTCTCTTCTTCTCTTCTGCCTTGTACGTTTCTTTCTCCCTTGTTCCTTGTACTTTACATTCCCTCTTCTTCCTTGTACTTTTCTTTTTCTCTTCTTCCTTGTACTTTTCATTCTTTCTTCTTCCTTGTACTTTACATTCCCTTTTTTAAACTCATGTCCATTTCCCGATCTCACATTAATCACTGTCATCAATTATTTTCTGATATTTAAGTCTGTGTTTCATTCTCTCTCTTTCCCTGTACTTTTTATTCTCTCTTCTTCCTTGTACTTTTCTTTCTCTTTTCTTCTTTTCACTTTTTAATCTCTCTTTTTTCTTTGTACTTTTCTTTCTCTCTTTTAAATACATATCCATTCCACGATGTCCTGTTCATCTCTGTCGTCAATTATCTTTTACTGTCAATCCTCTATTTCTGCTGCTTCTTCCTTGAACTTTCTTATTTCCCATTTAAATTCATTTTTCATACCTCAAGTTAGTATTCATCTCTGTTTTCTTTCCTTCTTTCCTTAAACTTTCAATCGTCTATTTCTCCCTCTTCGCCATTGAACTTCATTGTCTCTCTTTTAAATTTGGTTTTATTTTAGGTCTCTTTTTCTCTCTCTACTTCCTTACACATTTCCTGTCACTTCTTTTCTTCCTCTGTCTTCTTCCTCCCTTCGATCTTCTCTGTTCCCTCATTCTCTTTTAATATCGTCTCTATCTTTCTCTCTCTCTCTCTCTTCTTTTCATCTTATTCAAACCCCGCCTTTTCACTTTTTTCTTTTTCTTTTCTTTCTTTCTTTCTTTCGTTCTCTCTCTCTCTCTCTCTCTCTCACTCTCTCTCTCTCTCTTATTTTCATCTTGTTCAAGCCCCACCTTTTCACGTTCTCTTTATTTGTCTTTTCTTTCTTAGGCTCTCTCCCTCTCTCTTCTTTTCATCTTATTAAAACACCACCTTTTCACCTTCTTTGTTCTTTTCTTTCTTTCGCTTTCTCTCTTTTTTTCATCTTGTTCAAACCCCGCCTTTTCACGTTCTCTTTCTTTCTTTTCTTTCTTTCTTTCTTTCTTTCTTTCTTTCTTTCATTCTCTCTCTTCTTTTCATCGTATTCAAACCTCTTCTTTCCACCTTCTTTTTCTTTTCTTTCTTTCGTTTTTTTTTCTCTGTCTCTCTCTTCATTTCATCTTCAAGTTCAAGTCCCGCCTTTTCACATTCTCTTTAGTTATCTTTTCTTCCTTAGTCTCTCTCTCTCTCTCTTCTTTTCATCTTATTAAAAACCCGCCTTTTCACCTTCTCTTTATTTTTATTTTCTTTCTTTCGTTCTCTTTCTCTCTCCATCTCGCATTTTCCCACCATTTGTCCTCTCTCTCACTGCTTCTTATTTTCTTCTTTTTCGGCTTCAGATTTCTCTTTTCAGAGGCACTCACGTGAAAGACGAGCTGTTGAGAGGAAAGCCATTTACCCAATGTATTTCAAATATCGTTATATTTATTGTTTTCATTTTTTACTTTTCTCCGCAATGACTTTTCTGCCCCACTTTAAGTGTATATTACATCAGGACCTTTTCGAATATACATTTTTTTTTTTCTTTTTTATTTCATGTCCTCAAACTGTACATTAAGGACTGATAATCTATTGGATCTAACTGCCACAAAATCCTGCTTGTTCACCGAATCCAGACAATAAAACCCATTTCCTCCGAAGACGAAAACCGAAGAAGACAGCGATATATATATATATATATATATATATATATATATATATATATATATATATATATATATATATAATTATTTTTTTAAAATATGATTTCTTCGCTACAAACCAAATAATTATAACATAGGTTCTACTTTTTATACTGAGTACATTTTTTTTTTTTAATAAAAACAAAAAATACTAAAGAACTTAAGATTATTTACCTAACGTGTTCATTCCTCATATTTCTATATATTTAGAGACACACGCGCACACACACACACACGCGCACACACACACACACACACACACATATATATATATATATATATATATATATATATATATATTGATTACTTTAGTGGTCAATATACGCGCGCACACACACACACACACACATATATATATATATATATGTGTGTGTGTAAGCAAATATATGGATATAGATGCGACAGTACGAAAAAAAATATACTGAAAAAACAAACAAAAATCCTAATATGCGATTATGCTGTTTTAATGTTTAATGTCAACGTCGGACGTTTCGGTCTAATACACCATCTTCAGGACATATTCATAAAACATAATTAACATAGACCATATACAATTCAACATGAAAAAGACGATGGATATAAAAGCAAGACCAATCCAAACAGATAACTGAAATCTTTTATAAGATCAGCGTTCCGTTTAAATATGATCATGCTTTATGAATATGTCCTGAAGATGGTCTATTAGACCAAAACGTCCGACGTTGACATTATATTAACATTAAAACAGCATAATTGCATATTAGGATTTTTGTTTGTTTTTTCCGTATATTTTTATTTATTTATATATATATATATATATATATATATATATATATATATATATATATATATAATTTCATGAATCATTCATACAAAAAACAAATATAGAGGTTAATGATTTAAATGGCGAGAATACATCTTCGCAAACAATATAAATAAGTTACATCAACCACGACCCTGTATATGAATATGGTCCCAGTTCATAAATTCCAGTTGCATAAGGTCTTTTAATTTTTACAAGCTTTCGTCTGTTCCTACAGACATCCTCAGGTATGGAAATAGATTTGTTCTTGTTTTTACTTCTCGGTAATAAGAGGACAACGAAAATAGAGATGCAATCCGAAAAAATGATATGAGAAATGTGTTATTGTTTTGGAACGGGCGGTCGCAACGCTGATTTTCAATTTAAATTTTAAGGTTGTGCGTTTTTGTACAAATATAGCAATAAGAGAATTCTTTTTTACTGATAGATTTTCCGTGAATATGGCATGAACTATATTGTTCAATAATTACAGTAATGTCACACTTATTATCCGAGAGTTGCACGTTGGATCAGTTATTTTAATTTCAATTAAAAGGTGCAAGTATAATTTATAAATTAATGAAACATTCATACAAAAAACAAATACAGAGGATAATGATTTAAATGGCGAGAATACATCGTCGCAAACAATATAAATAAGATACACCAACCCCGAACGTGTATATGAATAATATGATCCGTGTTTATATATATATATATATATATATATATATATATATATATATATATATATATATATATATTTCCAAGAGTATAGACTCAGGTAGAACTCACTGTCTAGGAGAGAGTAAGAATATAATATAAAAAGCTTAAACACTAATATTCCGGGGATATAATTTATTACATTGGAATCGTAATAACAATCCAATTCATCAGACCTACAAATTCAACACATTTGAATTTGTAGGTCTAATGAACTGGATCGGGATTTCGATTTCAATGGAATAAATTATATACATGGAATATTAGTGTTTATATATATATATATATATATATATATATATATATATATATATATATATTGTCATCCAACTCCAATTATGTATATATATATATATATATATATATATATATATATATATATATATATATTGTAATCCAACTCCAATTATATATATATATATATATATATATATATATGCATCGTACTCCCATCTCGCTGAACTAAAAAAGAAAAGCATCAATCATCAACATCATACATAAAGTATGAACTCTGTGTGCACGAAACAATGTTCACAATCAACTGAGCTGACAGAAGTTTTACATAGATTGACACATATTATTCGCACGTGAGGAAGAAGATTATATATATATATATCGACTTTTTTAATATTTTAATATTTGGATATCATCTTTGAATACGTTTTCACAACATCGCCCACGTGACGACGACGTGATCATATTTAAACGGAACGCTGATTTTATATAAATATTTCAGTTATCTGTTTGGATTAGTTGTGCTCATATGTCCATCGTCTTTTCGTGTTGAATTTTTTTATATGTTCTAATGTTAATTATGTTTAAATGAAAATGTCCTGAAGATGGTCTTAAATAGACCAGAAACGTCCGACGTTGACTTTATATTAACATTAATACAGCATAATTGTATATTAAGATTTTTGTTTGTTTTTTCTGTATATTTTACTTCATATATATATATATATATATATATATATATATATATATATATATATATATATACTAATGATACAATATGGAATTTCAAGGAGGAAGTAGAATTATGGAGAGTTCTATGTCAAAAAGACAAAGCAAAATTATTATTAATTAAAGAATGTCAGTCAGTTATGTGCAGTAGGTTGACATTTCCTTCTGAAGTAGACAAGTTGCCAGCCAAGGCTATAGAACCCAGTCTGTTTTGCTATTTACACATTGCTGGGCCGAATAGGGAAGAATAAGATTCATACCTTTCTCAAAGCTATTATCACGTAAGGGAATGTAATGGATTTGACTGGAATTCGAACTCGATTCTCCGATTCCTCAATCCTGGCCGCTATTCGAGATGTGTTTGTAGGTATTGAAGATTGAGACCTCCTTTTTTTTAAAAACTTTCATGAAATGAAAATTATTACCTTTGGGATTTTAATGTTTGATATTTTTTAATAAATAAT